AAATAGATGAGGCGACCTACCAACTTTCAGTACCTCTCACGATCAATTAGTTCCTTTGTCTTTGCACTCAACTTTCCCTTCTGATCAATTGGTAAAACTGCAAACTTGTATCCCAGCATGTATGTCTCTGTGAGCAAGTCTAGCACATACTTCCTCTGAGATAGAACCACAAGCCACCTCAATCCTAAGGAAAATCTAAGTTTTCATAGGTCCTTTACCTCAAACGAGCCACCTCAATGTCGAAGAAAATCTAAATTGTACAAAGTACTTCACCTCAACTCTTAGCTCAAATTTGTCTCCAGCTGAGCAATTTCTCTCTCATCATCATCAGTGACAATCATATCATCCACATAAACATCAAGAATAGTAATGTGACCACTATATCGTCGAAAGAACACTGTGTGGTCGACATTGATGTGTTGATAGCCCATGTCTATCATTTCTCTCTTGAACCTGTCAAACCAAGCTATTTAAAACCGTATAATGAATTCCTCAGTCTACAAACATTGCTAACTAATTGGTTTGAGTCGAAGTCTATATCTCCATGTACAACTCTAACAGATCTCCAAGAAGAAACACATTCTTCACATCCATCCAACATTCACAGCCAGAGAGACGAGTGTCCTGACCGCGTTCATCTTTGTCACTTGTGCATATGTCTTATCACAGTCGATGTCATACATCTGATTATACCCTTCTGAGGTTTGCTTCAATGTGAAGACCCATTTGCACTCAACTGTCTTTTTTCCTGCTGGTAGCAATGCGAGCTCCCACATCCTATTCTTATTGAGAGTATCAAGTTTCTCTAAGATGGTAGTCTTCCACTTTGGATCCTCTTTGGCTACTTGCTAACACTTAGATATAGAAGCAGTGTCCAAAGACACAATATATGCTCCATGTAAAGGTGATATGTTAGAGTAAGAGATAAAGTGGGTGAGAAAACAAAAAGATCAGAAGAATAACGATCAGGATGATGACTCACATTATTGTGAGAGGTCTTCCTTAAAGTCATGGGAGTGAGAAAAGAAAGAAAAAGAATCATATTACCCGTGTAATACAATTACGAGCCGAATGGTGTAGGTGTCTTATGAGCAGGGTAGATCGGGACAAAGGAATTGTTGGCACGAGTGGCACGACAGACATTGTTCCCTCATTCTACGTCTTCCTTGTATACACCCTCAGCTCCAATTGAGCTTGAATATCACCACCTTCGGGCTCATTTTTTTTATTTTTGGCTCTTCCTCAATCGATCCTTCCCACACAACAGGACAAGACATTTTTTCCACATGTACTAATATCGCACTACTCTCCCCTCCTTGCCTCATACCTCCAGTATCTGGTGAGTCACCAAAAGGTGAGGTCACCTCCAAGGTCTAGTACAGTTTGAATTCTCTGCTTGGACTGGTAAATCTCAACTCGCAAAGCACCTAATAAATGAGGTAACTATGGGATCGCATCATATAAGGACCAATCGCAGCGCTGAAGGACGCTGAAGCTGATTGTAGCTCTGAAGTCCTGCCGAAGATCTTTGTCTCTTTCTCCTCTTTCTGCCGCCGGATTCACCTTGCTCCCTATTCATATAACCCAACCACCCTAGGTTTGGCTCTAATACCAAATACAAATATTTGTTCTAAAAAACCACTCTATTTATTTATTACTTTAGCTTATATAGAGCTTTAGAACACTCCTTACAAAGACATCCCAAGACTTTTTCTATATTCCTATTTGCAAATAAAACCCTAACTATATACAATTCTATACTTAAAAGTCATGTGAAGACATATGAAAATCATATAATATTTTGGGCTTACACTAAGCTGCAGTTTGTACATGTGAAATACAACTCATAGACATAAGTAGCACATCACAAAAAAATAATATATTAAGTATGTTAGGCATCCTACACAAGAAATAGCAAACCAAGCCCAGGTGTAATAATACGTAATCTTATTAATCATAGAATTAACGTGCTTCCAACAAGTATCCTCGTATAACATCAGCAGGTAACAATGTAAATATCATTATATACAATTCTAAGGTTATATCTTAGCAACATACAAAATTTTTTGTAAGATCATAAAAGAACTATATAACTACGTATGAATACAATTAAAATGGTACTTTTTTTAATACAAAAAAAACACATAAAACTTACAGGAGAACTATTATACCAAAAGCCACATGATTCCAACAAGATACAATGTTTTGCAAGTAACTTGTCTGACACTTGAAAAGAAATTACATAATATGATAAATTAACATGTCAAAATTCTAAATAGCAATTCATGAAGTTAAAGAGAAGAAGAATGCATTAAAACTGAAATAATTAGCCAATTTTGGATGGAAATACGCAAGAATGTCTAGCAATGCAGAGAGAACAATGTATCATAATTTTAGCCTGAAAATCCTATGTAAGTTCATCAAAGATTCAATCCATAAATAAAAATTGTGGAAATCATAACAGGAATATAAAAGGAATGATAATTACTGAATTCAGATGTATGAAAATGGTGTCCTAAATCAATGACAAAAAATTTTTAGAAGCTTTTGGCTCCGATAGCCTCCAAACTCCCTCTTGCTCTTTTTACTTCTCCCTCTATCTATCTCCACTCCCCATGACAATCCAAATGAATAATGCTTTGGGATGAGAATAAATAAGAGCAGGGTTGTAGCTAGTCTATAATAATATACGTGATGTATTCAAGTCCATTGAGCACTTACGTTCATTTTAATACAGATTTCATAAAATTATGAAGAAATATGCACAAAATTCTACATTTAGTCTAAAGTGAACTGATGATAACCATTCACAAATAATAAATTGGACAACTCCTAAAAGTGGAAAGAAGTCTAGCACGTGCATTTTCCAACCTCTTTAAGAACCTATTTAATTAAGCCTTGTAAGTAATTTGGGTGAAGATATTTTGACCCAAATTTAATCAAAAAAAGTTTTTAACTCTTTAGATCTATCAGAATATTTTTTAATGGCTATTTTTAGCCATTATTAATTATTTTTTATTCTGAATTATTAGCTTGACATCTTTATTATTCATTTCCTTCTCTACTGTATCTTGTTTTTATTTCTTTCCTTACTAGTAGATCCTATAATGAGTATTTATACCCCTCTTTGCATCAATAAGATTCATCCCGATTCTATTCTAACATGGTATCAGAGCCATGTTCCTAACCTAACTGCCGCCCGCTGGTCAGTCGAGGTCCCATCTATTTGCCAAAGCCCATCCTGATTCTACTGTCCCTCCTTTAAAGCCAGCTAGGCTTGCTTCAGGCTCTGTCTGCTTCAGGGTTTGCCGGAGCCACCCAAATCTTGCCGCCCTTCATTCCCCAATCGGTCGATGCCCATCTAGAACCAAATGTTCTAATCACCGGGTACACTTTCCAGTCGCCAGAAACCCTGCCTAACTGTCCAGTCTCCTTCCATGTTTGTTGGAGCCCCTCCTGAAATCTTCTTCCAACCGGCCAGGAGATCTAATCCAATGGGAACCTCTTATGAGGCCAGATTCCTCCAGCAGCCAAAAATTTACAATGTCTCGACAACTTAACATCTCGTTTGGCTTAATCAGAATCACGGCGGACTCCTCCAACTCTAAGTCGTCATCAGAAGATGTTCTTGATTTTACCTGATGATCAATTCCACTTTCCATTTCTCTGCAAATCGGAGGACAGGAAAATAATGTGAACTTCTTAATTACAACCCATAAACTAAATGTCACTAACTTTCTCCAATGGTCCCAATCTGTGTCTTTATTCATCAAATGGGTGTAGGAAATTTGGTCATCTTATTAGTATAATTCGTGAACCTCCAAAGGCTAACCCAACATATTGAGCTTGGGAAGTGGAGAATTTCATGGTCATATCCTAGCTGATCAACTCCATGGAAACTTCGATTGGCCAATCATATATGTTCCTTCCTTCCGCTGGTTCCCTTTGGACGACAATCTGTGATACCTACTCAGATATAGGGAATTCTGACCAATTCTAAGAGGAATCTAAAAAAATCAGTAAGGCAAAACAAGGATCCAGGATAGTGATCCAGTACTACAATGATCTAGTCACATTATGGATGGAATGCGACCTGTATAATGACTACACTTAGGAATCTCAAGTCGATCTATGTCTCTTCCAGAAAATTGTAGAAAAGGACTGCATGCTTCAATTTCTGGCAGGCCTCAATAAAGATCATGACAAAGTTTGGGACCATATCCTTGGTCAGGATCCTCTTTCTTCTACTTGCGCCGCTTTCACTAAGATTCGTCGCGAAGAGAGTCGAAGACTTATCATGCTTGGTGCTTCCACTCCATCCACCGAAGTATCCTCCTTGGTCTCTAATAGTGCTAAACCCAGGGCTGGTCACCCCACTTGTGATTGTTGTCACAAACCTAACTACACGTGATAAATGTTGAAAGCTCCATAAGAAATCTGCATCCAAACCTTCGGCCAAATCTTCCGTTGCCAAGGGTCTCGCAACAACTGTTGAATTCAACACAGTACAGTTGGCTTCTACCCTAAACAATTTGGAATCCTTGAATTCTCTTAAAAGTCAAATGAAGCTCTTAATCAAGCTGCTTGGATCCAGTCCACTCTCCTCCGGCTTGTCGACCTCTCAGGTTCTTCTAGGTACTAATCCAATGACACTCATTTTTTTTTGTCACTTCTAGTCCATGGTCATTGATTCAAGTGCCACAGACCACATGACTGAAAGCTGTCAAGCCTTCTTGGCATACTATCCTTGCTCGGAGAAAATTACTGTTAAAATTGCTGACGGGTCCCAAAGTTTCATTGCTGGTAAAGGCTCTGTTGTTTGTTTTAACAACAGATCTAACACAATGGAGAAATTTAATAGAATGAAATGGTAAGAAACATTAAAATTCTCAAATTGTAAGGTAAAACTAAAAAAAATTAAGTGAGCATTTAAGGAACACTGTTAAGAGAAAAAGGAAAACATTCTTGATTAATTAAAGAACTCACTTTTAAATTTTGTGAACTGTCACATATTAAACGATTAAACAAAAGAACTAAAGGCGGCCATAATAATAGTTGTTACACAATTTTTCTGATCTTCTGTATTTGCACGGCTTTTAGCACAGCAATTGCCATAAGAGTAACTGAAGGAACAAAAATTACATCCGGTACAATCCTCTTAAAAATAATGGCAGCACCTGGGGCCACTACTGCCGTAGTTAAAATTGCTTCGTCTTTCCTTCTACTAATGCTAACATGTGTTTCAAGAAGCTCAATGAGCAAGCGTTTTTTCTCTGCGGCATCTTTAATGGGGTCGCTCCACTCTTCATAGCACTTCTGCAATTTTAAGCATCAGACAATGTATTAAAAAAAAAAAAAAAGAGAATTATTTAATTGGTAGGATTCTGCAAAGATTCACAAATGACAGAACCTATATGTACACAAATAATGTGATTTTGCAAATCTGGATAATGTATAATGAGCAAATTGTTTAAAGTTCCCAACCTTCTTTCTTTTTGTTCCCCCTTTTCTTTGACTAAATGACATCATATACAAATAGGGGTACATAAAAAGTTGAGTCAAGCTAAGGCTACAACAAACTCAAGCTCGCCTATATGCTCATGTTGAGCTCCACAATGCTAGCATGTGAATATAATTTATTGATATTTTTTTTTGAAAGCCCAAAAAGGCTAATATATTAAATAGAAAGAAAGGTACAGATACAATGCGTGGAAGGGCCCAAGCATGGCACCCTGCCCACACAAAAAATCACAAAAGATTTCAAAACTATAAAAAACAGAAAATACATTAGATACTAAAAAAAAAAAAGCCTAACAGTACCGAAATAAATAGTATCAGGTGGCTAGAGAGCGACCCAATTTGACCTTGCTCTG